TCCTTCATCCCTCTCTATTGCTGTATCCTTTTATGCATATGGACTACTCAGAGGGCTGAAAAAGTTATTTTTGACTGGTCCTCACACTTTTGACCAGTCCTCGAATTTATGACTGTCCTCACATTTTACATTTTTGCCCTATCTTGTCATCATGGTGAAGAGAAGCAGTTGTGAAATGAGTGACATGGTTGTTAAGAATGCTGCACGGGCATAAATGTGAGGATGGTCATAAGTGTGAGGACCAGTCAAAAGTGCGAGGACCTGTCAGAAATGACTTTTTTCAGCCCTCTGGTTAGTCCTTTTTTGCATATGGACTACTCAGAGGGCTGAAAAAGTTATTTTTGACTGGTCCTCACACTTTTGACCAGTCCTCGAACTTACGACTGTCCTCACATTTTACGTTTTTGCCCTATCTTGTCACCATGGTGAAGAGAAGCAGTTGTGAAATGAGTGACATGGTTGTTAAGAATACTGCACGGGCATAAATGTGAGGATGGTCATAAGTGTGAGGACCAGTCAAAAGTGTGAGGACCTGTCAGAAATGACTTTTCAGCCCTCTGAGTAGTCCCTATACACATAGCCATGGCCACCCAGTCACATGACCAGCTAGCCACGCCCACCCAGTCACATGGCCTCCAAGCCACACCCACACAATAAGTCACGCCCACAATGGTGTCCTTCTTACCAATGTTAAAATCTGTTCACCTTACCCTATACACATAGCTATGGCCACCCGGTCACATGACCAGCTAGCCACGCCCACCCAGTCACATGACCAGCTAGCCACGCCCACCCAGTCACATGACCAGCTAGCCACGCCCACAAAATAAGCCATGCCCACAATGTCCCTCTTTACCAATGTTAAAATCTGGTCACCTTAGGTTATACTGGCTGGCTATACAGTGGCTATATTACATGTTCTTTCCCCAAGTTTTAACACATTTCTCATTTTCAAGGTAGTAATTCTATTACATAAGCAACAGATTATGATTTCATGATTGAGCTATAACGTATGTTTCTCAAACAAGAAACCAATATGTTGTATCAAAATCTGAAGACAATAGTGGTACCTAGCATTTGCCCAACAGAATCTATTGCTCCAAATTCAGTACAAAGAAACAGTGGCATTTTACAAGACCTATATAAATTTAAAATGCTCTGATCAATAGCATGATACATATCTAAGCAAGAAAAAATATGATCCATAATGCCTATGATTTAGAATGAAGTCTCAATGCAAAATGTGGGAGTTATTAATCAACAGGAGTATTATATTTAAATTTCTATTCAAATTGATTTTTTTTGGTCTTTGTTTTAAGGTTCAGGAATGCCTATACTATTCCATAGGTCCGTGATGGCGAACCTATGGCACGCGTGCCACAGGTGGCACGTGGAACCATATTAGTGGGCACGCCAGTTCAGCTCTGGGGCGCATGTGCGTGCCGGCCAGCTGATTTTCGGACCTTCTGGGCCCATCAGAAGTAGGGAAACAGGCTGTTTCCTGCCTCTGGAGGGCCTGGGGGTGGGGTGGGGAAGGCCCGTTTTTTTTTTCTTACCTGGCTCCAGATCCTCTCTGTGTATCTGGGAACGGCGAAAACAGCCTTTCTCACTTCCTTGGAGGCCCTACGGAGGCTCAAAGGGCCCATTTCCCCACTCCCGGTGGGACAGGAAGTGACGTTTTTTCCTGTCCCCAGCCTCCAGAGACTCCTAGAGCGGCTCCTAGAGACTCCTAGAGAGGCTCCTAGAGACTCCTAGAGAGGTTCTGGAGGCTGGGGACAGGAAAAAACGTCACTTCCTGTCCCACCAGGAGTGGGGAAATGGGCCCTTTGAGCCTCCGTAGGGCCTCCAAGGGAGTGGGAAAGGCTGTTTTCGCCATTCCCAGATACACAGAGAGGATCTGGAACCAGGTAAGAAAGAAAAATGGGCCTACCAGGCCATCATGTGCCAGGAGCGGGGGGGGAGGGGGTTGCGCACGTGGGCCCCCCCTCTCCTGGCACGCGATGGCAAAAAGGTTAGCCATCACTGCCATAGATCATCACACTTATTTATATAAAAAGTATAGCTGATCAGAATAAGAAAATGGTATTAAAATAATTCATTACATGTAACAGGACTAGCACATAATAAGAAGGAAGAAATGTAGAAAAATTTTAAAAATGAAATATATGTATGTAATTTTGCTTAGTATGTATGTTATTTTTTTCATATATATCTTTATCCACACATATTCCCAAATTATTATCCTTTAAATGGATTGTATTTCAATTCCAGTAATTATCCTAATGAATTCTTATAATCTTTCCCACACCTGCAGGATGTTGGATGAAGTCTGAATTATATTATCAGTTGAGACTGCACAGAAAAAAAACCCAGTTGTATGATTAATGTTAACCACCAGAATTGCATGAACAGTGGGGAGGCATACAAATGCTTGTACTAGAATTTGGTTGGTTTTATTGTAGATCATACTCATTCAGTCTGAAGTTAGGTAGTGCCTAAATTAAAGAAGTTAAAATAGAAACCACTGTCCTAAAGATTTATTTATTACATTTACATGCCATGCCTCTCAACAATAAGGAGACTTTGGCCTACTTACAAACAGTCAGCAGATAAATATAAAATAATTATAATTAAAAAAACTATATGAAAATTAGAACCAAGGATATGGATGCCATGCGGATGAGATCTTCTTACCCCGTTAACCATGGCCAATGGTGAGTGCTCCCCTTGGGTTCCCAAACCAACCAGCAAAACTAGTCTTTAATATCCTTCTGGAAGGCCAAGGGGGCATGGCCAGTGTTGCGGCGAGACAACACTTTTTTCGGCGTCTCCCGAAAAATCATTGATGTCGCAGCCGTTTGGGGGTCTTTATTGACCAAAGCTATCCTGTAAAGATGGTGAATGAGAGAGGCACAGACTGGCGAGCACAGGGAAGCTGCAAATTCCCTGGCTAGTCGGAAGAAGCCCCTCAACCAGACGACTGAGAAAGTGGCCATTGAATGTGCTGCTATGAAGCTGGGGTGGTCACATCTGAAGCAGAGAAGCAAAGGAAGTGGAATCATCTGGGTGAGAAGCTTGTTTTTTAAATTTATGTTAAATATATGTTTCTTTTCATAAACCTGGAAATAGTTTGAAGAGAAGAAAACGGCACAAGGAGAGGAGAGGAGAGTGGGCCTGTGTCAACTCTCTGCCTCCGGTAGCTTAGCAGCAAAGAAAGTGGATTGGCCCAAATGGAAGAAGAAAATTGAATGAATTAGAATTGATTTGGGAAACAAGGGAATAAGAGCAGAAAGCCTGAAGGAGTATTTTTAAACTTTTGATTCTTACTAAATGAAATTGAATTGAGTTGAAATGAAGGAATGCTTTATTATTAGTATGGGAGAAGGTTAAAGAAAAACATTATTTGAAAATACCAACATGACTTTCAACAATGGAAGCATTAGTACATCCAAATATTATTAATATGGAAAATATTATCAGATATAAAGATATTTTATCAGAAAAGGGGGAATTGAAAATGAAACAAGTACTAGTAGAACAAGGGATTGATATGGAGTGATATACACAACTGCAAATACAATCAAGATATGAAAAAGATGCAAAGTTATATGGTTTTTATTTGGAGATGACAGAATTGGATGATATACTCCCAGGAACAGATGACAAAATGATTAAAAAATTCTATAGTTATTTACTTGGTGTTAAATTAGAAGAAGAACAAGTAAAAGAAACAATGATAGCATAGGCAAAAAATTTTGGATACACAATAGAGTTAGATAAATGGCAGCAATTATGGGAAAGAAATGATAAATTAACAATGGCTACAGCATATAAAGAGAACTTGTATAAAATATTTTATAGATGGCACATGTCACCAGAAAGATTGGCAAAAATGTTTAAAGATAAATCAACTAAATGTTGGAAATGCCACCAGACACCAGGATCGTATTATCACATGTGGTGGACATATCCAGAAATGAGAAATTATTGGGCAAAAATTCGAATATGGTTAGAGAAAATGATACAGCAAGATATTGATCTTAAACTGGAGCTGTTCCTGCTGGGTATCTCACTGGATAAATTTAGTAAAGAAAATATATATTTGATCATACATGTAATAACGGCAGCAAGAATGGTATTTGCACAAAATTGGAAAGCAGAAAAAATTCCTACAAAGGGAGAGGTAATTAAGAAAATATTAGAATGTGCAGAAATGAGTAGATTAACATTAGCAATTAAAGGGAAGGAAGAATCAGAGAATTACAACATATGGGGACAATTTTATCAATGGATAGAGACTGAATATAGACAATAGGCAATGTAAAAGTAAGAAATATGGGGAAAATATGTTGTAATACATTAAATTTAAATGTAAGAGGAAAGATAAATATGTATTAAGAAAATGATAAATGTTGAATATGATGACACAAAAAAAAATTGTACCCAGATGTTACAATGATTGATTAATGATGAATTGTTTGTTTAAAAATAAAAATAAAAAACTTAAAAAAAACCCAAATCATTCTGGAAGGTCCAAAGGGTAGATGTACATGTATCTATGTATCCATTTTAACAAAAACCTTAGACTTGTGATGTAAGCTCATTCATTGCTAACAGATATTAGATTTATACTATGCAATAAGGTACTGAACGATGTGAGCAAGAGTGCTTTTGTCCCTCCACCCCAAGCATTTCATGTTTGGATGAGAGATAACAACTGACCAAAAGCCACCTACTAAGCTTCATGGCCAAGTAATGATTTGAAGATGAATTTTCATTCCCACTACATCAGTGTAGCCCCATATGGAAGAAAATGTCATATGTGATGCAATTCTTCAGAAACATTATAATTTTTCATATGTATGCTGTTAGTTAGCTAATATAACTTGTCTAACTTGCTGTCTTCTAGAAGTCTTGAAATTTTATCTGCTAAACTTCTGGCCCCTGACAAAGAATTATATAAATTTGTCATAAATATATAATGACAAAGAATTACTCACAGCTTTGGCTTAGCAAGCACAGGTGGTGGTGTTTTTGTAGGTGAAAGCAATTCACCAACGTGGGATTTGTCAGTTTTGGTATTGCCATTAGTGATCCCATTGACTCCATGGGTAGGATGAATTCCATTGGTTTTCTTCTCCACAGAGTTAAACTGTAATTCAAAAGCTGCTACATTTGAGCTGGGATGACTGATCTTGGAGTGCTCTGAATGCTTTGGAGGAAGCTCCACAGAATTAATCTCAAGACGTGAAGATGGAGGTGGGAAATGTTGAAAGTTATCCTTATTCTGTACTCGCATTGACAAATCATGGCTGGAGCTTTCGCAACTGGCTAAAATAGAAAGGAAAAAATAGTACATCATCGTAACACATTATTTGAATTATTTTAGTTCATTGAACATTTTAGTTCATTGAAAATGAGATCATTACTTTAGTCAGTTACATTGAACTGTTATGCCAGAAAAGACAGTTATTTTCAAATTCTCATGAGCATTTGAACTTAAGGATCATAAATAAATATTTATTTACTGCTATTGTTCATGTTACAAGTGGAAATTGAGTTGAGAACAGTAACTGATCTATGCTCAGCATTGGCTAAATGAAGAAATTGTGTGTATCAAACTTATTTGAATTAATCACAGATCTATAACACCACTGTGCATGAAAAACACCAACTTATTCCAAGACTTCTGCATTCATTTCTGGTTTATATTTAATACTCACAGGAAAATTACTGGGGGGTTTTGGCTTTTGTTTTTAATATGAGTTACTCATTTTTTCCATGTTGCCTCTGCTGCCACCTAGCCTCAAAATCTTAATGTTAAAATTTGAACTTATAATTAACTTCTCCCTCTATATAGTAGAAAACAAAACAAATAAAGGGGAGGATATGGATAATTATTAAGGAATTTACACGGTGCCAAAATATCCACATTGCACATTGCTTACTGGCAGTTACAGAAACCAGCATTTATAGGAATATATTCTTAACTAATCATCATAATGAAATATACTGCTGACTACATACTTTATCGTTAATACATAAAATTCTTATTCTTATTAATTTCTTCATAATTTAAAAGATATGAACTGAACTAGATTTTTAAAAAATCAGAATCATTTTGTGCTAGCTAGAAACCATGGGGGTTTTACTTCAATACACCTGAATGAGGAAAAGAAATGGTTTCATCTTGAACCATTTTTCAATATAATTGTACACTCATAATGGCAAGATACTTTAGTGCATAATTTAGGTTTTTATTATATCAGTACATTTCTTCCATAGTTTTATTTTTGTAGTTTGTGGTCCAAATGAAACAGAGGCCAAATTTCTTCCTTTATAATTAGCAGCTGCATTTCTGTTAGTTGGATCCACTGTCAGTTTATTTTACTGTATTTCCTAATGCCACCTCTAGGCGAGATTGGTGGAATAGAAATCAAATAAGTAAGTGAGTAAGATTTAGAGCAGGGATTCCCAGTTTTGGCAACTTTTAAGACGTGGACTTCAACTCCCAGAATTCAGCTCCCAGAATTCCCTAGCCACGCATCTTAAAGTTGTCAAGATTGGGAACCCGTTTTAGAGGATTATGTAGAATACTCTTAGATATGTCAACTTTATACATTCTTTTTATCCTGATATAAAGTAATACATCATCAGTAAAAAATGTGGAAATATAACATACAATGTACTCCAAATGTATCTAGTGCAGCTAGGTCCAAATATCACTTTGTTTCACTTATATTGTAGACAACACAACCCACCCAAAAACTGCTGAATACCTGACAGCACAGTCAGTTTGGCAGTGCTTGTGACTGATCCATAATCAGTGCTTGCTGTGCATGCAAAGATCCCTGCATGTTCGGGGAAAGTCTCTGCAATCACCAAAGTACATATCTCCTCTAAAAGGTAATCAAAAGAAAAATAACAATTTTGCATTAGGCTTCACATAATTAGCTTTGGAATTCACAATATTTAGCCCCAATCTTGGCTCTAGGACAGTGATGGTAAACCTTTTAGAGACTGAGTGCCCAAACTGCAAACCAAAACCCACTTACTTATCGCAAAGTGCCAACATGGTAATTTAACCTGAATACTGAGGTTTTACTACTTAAAATAATGATAAACAAGGCAGAGTTCAGCTAACTGTTCTAAGAAAAATGTGATAAATGAACTTTTATGCCCCTTCATTTCCCCCTGCTTTTCAAATATTGCGTTTAGCAATAATAAAAAAGAAAAACTTTTATAATATCATTTCTCTTTCCCTCCCTCTTTTTCCCCTCTGTCTCTTTCCCTCTCCCCTTTCTCTCCCTTTCTCTTTCTCTCCCTCCCTCCCTCTTTCCCTCTTTCCTCCTCTCCCTCTTTCCTTCCCCCTTTCCCTCCCCTTTTCTCTTTCCACATCTCTGCCTCTCTGTTTCTCTTTCCCTCCCTCTTTCCCCCCTCTCTCTCTTCCCTTCTCTTTCCCTCCCTCTCTCTCCCTCGTTCCGCCTCCCCTTCTTTTCCTCCCTCTTTCCCTCTCTCCCTCTCTCTCTCTGCCTCCCTCTGTTTCTCTCTTTCTCTCTCTTTCCCTCCCTTTCTCTCTCTCCCCCTCTGCCCCTTGGAGAGGGGGAAGGAACCCCTGAACTGGTACTGGGTGGTGGGAGGCCGACGAGTCCAGGAGCAGCACACCCACATTCAGCTGGTCGGCTGAGAGCCGAAGCCTAGCTGGCTGGCGGGGAGGCGGGGCATCCCAACACAGGCAGCTCTGCAGAAAAAGCAACTGGGAGGCGAGAGTGAGCCAATGCCATTGCATTGTGGCTCTGTATTGTAATGGACTCCAGGAGGAGGAGGGGACCCTGTCTCCCCCATTGTGAAGCGCTCTAAATTTCACTGTGCTGTGCAAGGGGCAGGCCATGGAGGCAGCACCGCCACAAAGGCGGAATGCTTTCTGCATTTTTTTAGTCCTGCAAACAATGGCGAGAAACGTGATGGAGAAACATGATGGTGCTGGGCTGGGGCGACATCACATGTGCCCCCAGAGAGGGCTCTGCGTGCCAACTCTGGCACGTGTGCCATAGGTTCGCCACCATGGCTCTAGGACAAAAATAAAATGCACAACAATGATTTGCTTTATTGGGGGGGGGGCTGCCTTTCTTGACAAGCATATTAGTCCTCCACTCTTTTAAATAGCTATAAGTAGATAAGCAAACACTTTGTTCTTTCCATGTAGAAGCATCCTAAACAATTTACTAGATGTTAAAAGCAGTCTAAATCAGGCTTATTTGAAATCTAGTATCATCTAATCAACCCAGAGTTCTCAAGATACAAATGACCAAGCTCAGATTCTCCTATTTAGGATACATTATGTGAAGATCTAGCTCCCTGGTGATGGCTCCAATAGTGGGAATGGTAGAAGAAAAGAGAAGAAGGGTTATATCAGAAAGACTAGCTTGCAGATAGATCATCATGGAAAAAAATCAATGTGGTCACTAAGAGGTGACAACAACTTTATACCACATAATGCCATCTAACCCAAGAAGATTGACTATAGATACAAAAAGGTACTGATGCGCATGACAAAGCAACTAATAGCTATAGTGCACCATAAAATTACAGGTAATCCCTCAGCTATGACAGTTCACTTAGTGACTGTTCGAAGTTACGACTTAGCCCCAGTGGTGGGATTCAATTTTTTTAACAACTGGTTCTGTGGGCGTGGCTTAGCTGGGGGTGTGGCTTGGTGGTCATGTGACTGGGTGGGCGTGGCTAGCTGGTCATGTGACCCGTGGGCGTGGCTATCTGCATAGGGACTACAGAGGGCTGAAAAAAGTCATTTCTGACTGGTCCTCGCACTTTTGACCGGTCCTCGCACTTATGACCATCCTTACATTTATGCCCGTTGCGGCATTCTTAACAACCGTGTCACTCATTTCACAACTGCTTCTCTTCACCATGGTGAAAAGATAGGGCAAAAACGTAAAATGTGAGGACTGTCGTAAGTTCAAGGACTGCTCAAAAGTGTGAGGACCAATCAAAAATAACTTTTTCAGCCCTCTGAGTAGTCCATATGCACAAAAGGACTACCCAGAGGGCTGAAAAAAGTGATTTCTGATAAGTCCTTGCACTTTTGACCGGTCTTCACACTTATGACTGGTCATCATTTATGCCCATTGTAGCATTCTTAACAACCGTGTCACTCATTTCATAACTGCTTCTCTTCACCATGGTGACAAGATAGGGCAAAAACGCAAAATGTGAGGACAGTCGTAAGTTTGAGGACTGGTCAAAAGTGCGAGGACCAGTCAAAAATAACTTTTTCAGCCCTCTGAGTAGTCCATATGCATAAAAGGATACAGCAATAGAGAGGGATGAAGGAAGGAAAGGGAAATTAGAGGAGGAGGGTAAGAGAGGGAGGAAGAGAGGAGGAGAAGGAGAAAGGAAGAGGAAGTAGGGAGGAAAAGAAGAGGGGGAGGAAGAGAAAGTAAGAAGGAAAGAAAAGAGAGAGGTGGTAGGTTTGAGGAGAAAGATTGCTGTACAATAAAAAAGATGAAAGGGAAGAAAGCCAACCCCAAACAAATATAAAGATATTAAGATAAAGAATGAATTGTTAAACTTTAAAGAATAAAAGAGAACAAATATGAATAAATAACAATAATTAGAAACACACATACAAACATACAATGTATTTTCTTTGAACAGAGTATTTGGCCGGTTCACAAATTTAAACAGTGTTTAGTCATTTCAATTAAATTTACAATTTCTATATTTCCTTTTTGCCATATTTATTCCTCATCTATTTTGGTAAAAAACCAATATTACCCTTCATCCTCATCTCTAATCTTAATCAAATTCAATTTTTCCCTTTTATTCTATATTATTCCCCTTCGCATTGTCATCTATTTTTATATCCATCCTCACATTGGTTAATTATGTAATATTACAGTTGTTTAATATAAATTCAACATTTTAATATATATCAATTAGTTATATAACTACCTTTTTTGTATATTAATCAATATGAACATGAATATTCCAATTATTTCCATGCAATCCAATTTCTTACAAATCAATTAATTATATTTACCAATAATAATAAACCAAATAATTTCCCCCATATATTCCTCCAAACCACAACTTAACCATTTCTGCTTTCAGCACAATATACAATTAATAGTATCTCAATTATTACAATTCCCTAGTTAAATAGAGCTTTTTTTCTTTTATGTTTTAAAATCTTGAACTCTCCTCTTTTTCCCTAAATTTCCCATTGTTTGCACCTACCTTTTTTGGTGAGGAAAAAGAAAAGAAATCTGCCTGCCTAATTTTCCAACGTTGCAGCAACAGCAAAGCCAACAGCCTGCTTTACTTTCAGTTTCATTTTTCAGCATAGCTAGGGGAAAAAAAAACTGCTCCAGCAAGCAAAGAAGCAGCAGAGGAAAACAGCTGAGAGCAAATCAGCTGAGAGTCGGGAGCCGATCTAATCAAGGGCTAATTAGCCTATGCTGAAGCTCCGCAGGCCAATATAATTACAAAAAAACACCGAACCCCCTAGAACTGGCAGAATCCCACCACTGCTTAGCCCCCCAAAGTACTTCCGACCCAGTTACAAATGTTGCAGTACCACTGCCGTTGTTCACACTTAAAAATGACAGCAGAGGCATTGCAGCATTCACCTTGCCTATCCCACACCGCCGGGACTCCACAACCATAAGGCCTGTGGCGACTCACTTATCTTGTGATGATATAGTGAGCCATCAGTTCCTTTGTCTACTTCAGTGCATTTGCAGAAAACAGAGGCTTGAAGTAGTGAGAGATCATGCAAGATCAGTAGCACAAGATCTTGTACTACAGTACTTCAGGCCTCTGTTCTCTGTGAACCGAGGCCTGTGCCAGATCCGGCTGAGGAGCACTTGCAAGCTGATGAGACTTTGGGGCAGCAAAACAATATTGCTTCAAGCCTCCCATCAGCTTGCAAATGCTTTTTGTGCTATTCCAGTCTCGTTGGCTTGCAAACTGGTTTTTTGTGCCATCCCCAGTCTCAGTGCGAAAAACACTTGCAAGCCAATGAGACTTTGGGGCAGCGAAATTGCATCACTTCAAGCTTCCCACCAGCTTAAAGCTCTCTTCGTGCCCAGACTGGAATGGCATAAAAAGTGTTTGCATGCTGATGGGAGGCTTGAAGCAATGCTGTTTCGCTGTCCCAAAATCTCATCATCTTGCAAATACTTTTTGCACTGAGACTGCCAGCAGAAAAAGAAACCACGGCAGAGAGGCTGGAGAGGAGACAGATCTTCACAAGGTAAGTGACCTGGCATGGTAGGATGAGGGGGGAGAAATTGTGGGGACTCCGGGGGAGGGAGATAAGATATGTCAGTGGGTTGGGGGAGGCTCGGGTGGTCTGAAACAGTTGGACTATTCCATCACTAGGCCCTCTGGGATGCTGATGCCCTGAAGGGTAGGGCAAAAAAAATCCCTGAATTTATTTTGGCATTTATTTTGGTCAAAAGAAAATAAGATCAGGTTTTATTTTTGGGGAAATATGGTATATTCCACTTCATAATCATTCTATCCCATCCAAGACAGCGGTGAAATGCACTTACCATCGCTACCAGTTCAGAAATGTGAGTGCGAGCACCTTTTCTGCACATGCAAAAGACGGGTCAAAAATGGGACATAATGACTTCCCGGCAGGTGGGTGGAGCCTCCTACTGCTGGCCGTACCGGTTCGCGCAAGCCAGATAGATCCGGCCAGATTTCACTGCTGATTCAAGGTCTATCAAACTTATTTAGTATATCCTTGATCTCATAAACCTCAGGTCTTATGTGACCCCTCTAAGCTTCTAATAATAATGATTGTCAAAAATTAGTGTACTTTTTATTGTTTTTTTTAAAAAAAAAAACACATGAACTCATAGTGCAAGAT